CAATAATTTGCTGTGTAAAAAATCCGAGAGAGACTCACTTTCACCAAAAAGCAAAACTAAATTGATAGCACAATTATACCCCTCCCTCCACCTCAATCTCTTAGCTTTCGTTTCTGTACTATTTCCCCCTCAACTCTCAACTGTGGTCTGACGACTGACGATGCTGTAGGGGAGAGTGGGGGAAAAGTGGGCCACCGTGGGGGGGAGTTTTGAAAAAAAACACGAAATAACTCCAAAATGAAAAAACCATGGACAAAATGCATTATATGAATCAAAACAACTTTTATTGTGTTTAAAAATCAATTATAATAAGCGGCGCAACAGAGATAGAATGAAAATGGTTTTATAGGGTGATGAACGTCAACTTTACAAGTGGGGTCAGAAGTGGGCCATGGATGGGGAGAACTACCCCCCCCCCCCCCCATGGGGAGAAATGGGCCCCCTGGAGAGAAGTGGGCCACATGTGTCATCTGTTACCAGGGCTACCGAAATCTAAACATAAAAACAATACACTCCTCACATCGGCACAAATATACCCAAATTAAGACCACTAAAGTGTCCAAAGTCAACATAGACAATGAGGTAGCCACTGGTTGTCGCAAACTGGGTTGTGGGTATCTCCAAAGAAAGCCCACCTGCCACTCCTCTCCGGCACTTTTTGCATTATCTCATGTAGATGGATACGAAAGGTCTTAGGCAACTGCGACTTCATAGACGAGTTTTTTGCAGTTGTCAAACCACAGAATATTTTGACACATTTCAACATGTACTGCATCAGTTCAGCCTCCTTTTCCACAGTGAAGGTATGTGACTTCAACCAAAGGCACTCCATTTCTGACTGTGGCCATGGCACTGTTCATTTTATCAGGTAAGGCTGTGCCTATGCCGGTCTTCCTTTGATACGTAACATTGTCCATAGAGATTAAACAGAAAAAAAGAAGAATAAAGCATTTTAATGCGTGTCTTTGGGACATTGGTTCTTTCCAAAAGACTAGAAAGAAGCGGGTACACAGTCTCACACAAGAGCACCAGTGAAGGGAAAACTCTGGAATGGTAAACTACTGCAATACTCTCCCGAGGTTTGTTTTAAAAGTTTATACCAAGATCTAAGCCTCATCTTTATCCTATTTTCTAACAAAATAGGTAATATGTCTAAATTAGCAAGGAAGTGTGTTGAAGATTGTTTTTCTACAACTGGGGAGAGGTGGGTCACACGTGGGGAGAACTTGGCCGATGGTGGGCCACTTCTCCCTCCTATTGGCAGTCTAACTATTAAAATGTGAGTTTTCTTCAACTGGCGGTTAAAACATGGAGAACAAATGAAAATATATAAGTAATATAGATATGTTCTTTTAACTATTGTTACACTTACCCGATATGTTTTGCTCCTCTTTGTGGTAAAGTTGCGAGTTTCAAAAATCAAGTATCTCAACTTTTTCTTATATTGTATGCAAAATTGCACTAGACCTCTGGATTTGGCTCTTCAGTGGGTGGCCCACTTGGCCCCACGGCCCACTTCTCCCAACTCTCCCCTATACAGAGGTCGCAAAATACGCTCCAGCAAAACGTCTCTCTCTCTCTCTCTCTCTCTCTCTCTCTCTCTCTCTCTCTCTCTCTCT